TATATATGTATATGTATATATGTATATATATATATGTATATATATATATATATATATATATATATATATATATATATATGTATATATATATATGGTTATATTTGGCAAAAAGGGAGTCCAAATAAAGTTTTCGATAGTATGATTGATGATGAAACAATAAAGAAAGGTAAAAAAAGTTGTCTTAGATGAATCGGCTCCGAAACGAGATTCGGACCGCGTTTTCGATGCTTTTCGAAGACCGTTGATAAGTGAGTTTACCTGAAAACATTGTTAGACCAGTCTGAAAAGAATACCTAATTCTATATGGATGTAATGTGTGGATTGGATTTAACAATAACATTCAATATGTGGATTGGATTTAACAATAACATTCAATCAGATAGGAACCCGACTGGTGTACCTACAGCCACTGTTTTTTACTCGAAAAAATACTTCTGTATAAGACTTCTCAAAAACACCCGAAAAAATGTCACAAATATGTGAAATATAATATCATTTGACATTTAGTTCTGGTGATATATTTTTCACAGGCTATTCAGTTTCGAAGAACCTATTGATTTAGAGTGAATTGTTTACTACAGTAAATTTAGTTTATTTCAGTAATTTCCCCAGAGCTGCTTCAACAATATGTAATTTGAGTTATGTATTAGCATCATTTGTATTAAGGCCAACTCAGACAGCGTCGGCCGACGCAGTCCGACCCGATTTATCGTCGGGGACAGTCTTAGGCTATGTTCAGACACAACGACTTACGCTAGCGTAACGTTAATCGAGTGATGTGAACTCGTGCGCGGCGTAGCGAACGCCAGTGTTATCGCGCAATCACTGGCGTACGGTAATCCAGCAACAGACCCCAGATTAGCGTACGCCACTGATTTACGACAGTCACGCATCGGTGATTTTGAACTCAGCCAAGATTTGACCAATCAAAATAAACCTAGATGTAAACAGAAAATAAAATGCGCGAATTACGAATACGAATATTTCGCGCGAATACTTACGCTAGCGTTCATTAATCGCCCAGTCTGGACATCTCGCTAGTTACGCCGTGGATTAACGTACGCCTGGCGTATCTCACAGGTCTGAACGTAGCCTTTAGCCGTCGTGAGAAATATTAAACACGTTTAATATTCTACTACGCGACTGCCCCCGACGCACACCATCGCGTCTGCGTTCAACTCACACAGACCCGACGCGACAACAAATCGCGTCGGGCTGCGTCGTACGACGCTGTCTGAGTTGGCCTTTATTTACCCACGTTTCTTAAGGCCAACTCAGATAGCGTCGGCCGACGCAGCCCGACCCGATTTATCGTCGGGGACAGTCTTAAGCCGTCGTGAGAAATATTAAACATGTTTAATATTCTACTACGCGACTGCCCCGACGCACACCATCGCGTCTGCGTTCAACTCACACAGACCCGACGCGACAACAAATCGCGTCGGGCTGCGTCGGCCGACGCTGTCTGAGTTGGCCTTTATACAGTGTACCGAGCTCTTATAAGTTATTATAACATTAAGGTCAATACATCCTACTACATATTTCTTAATAAAAATTTGACCTCCGAAGTCCCCAGACCACAATCCTGCTTCTTAAAGATGGAAATTATACCTACCAGACAAATATTTTATAATTTGCAAAAAATCGTTCAAAGCCACCCTAATATAACGTAACGAATGTTACAGTTTGCAGACATGCTGGCAAATTATTTAAAACAACTTTGTACACTAATAATACATTAATAATAAACCTTTTCATGTTTATTTATAAGCGGTGTTTCACAAACGCCTTTCATATTTTTTTTTTTATTAGACTAGCATTTGAAATACCGTGCATGATCGTAATTTGTTCATAAAAAATATAGAAAATCGTGACCAATGAGTATGATGTAGGCCCTATGTTTATTAGGATGTTAATTTATCAATAATCATTTAATTTTAGGTAGTCATATAATACGTAATATTTTCATTAGACAATATGTAGATTAATTCTGGAAGGCAACCATTCGTTCCATAAAACTAAAAAGAGATGTACATATACTCTTATCACGGAACGTAAATATGATGGAGGTTGGAACTGTATATTTTCTGCTACCGGTACATCTTTAAACTCATCGTTTTGCTTAATTTTCGAAGACCTACTGTGATGTCGTCAGTATACATTTATAAGTAGTGTGTGAGTAATTTGACCTGCCCTCGATTTTTGAGAATTGTACTATTTGCGTATATTTTCTAGTAGCATGCTGGCAATCCTGTAGTCAGCTATTGGGACAATTGGGACAGTCTCACACAATTTTCTATTGGGTCTACAAAGAATGGGTTCACATTTTTAAAAACAGTTATACATGGTCTAACCAGGGATCTAATACAGCTCACATTACCAGTTTAGATCGGTAGGGTAGCAGTAGCAACTGCGTGTGCGCTGAATCATGGATATTTGTATGCAACCTTGGTTCCCGCCCGGTTCATTCCTAACCTTTTAGTGTTCTAGTTTAAGAGTTGATTTTTTTTTAGTTTAATAGCGCACGTTTTAGATGAGACGTAAAGCCGTCGGTCTCTCGTGCAATAATGGCTTATGTACGCGTTGAACGCAGTACTGGACCCGTCGGGAGAAGGAAAAAAAAATACATGTATATTTATGGAATGTACTTTCTACTTATTAGTAGACTCTAAAATCGATGAAATAAGCCTTTGAAACCCAGACCACTTTCGAAACCTTTTAATCAAAGCTTGACCACGCCCACATTGCTTTCGTCGGCGAAATTTGACCCCTCGTCGGCTGCATCGCCCCCCCCCCCCCGTCGGAGTTTATTTAAGGTGGGCAACAGGATATAAATATTATTAGTGGTCTATTTTGTAGCAAATCTCCTGAAATGATATAAGTGCTGAACATTTAAAGTATGCAAGTGATAGATTTAGCTATTCGTTTATCTCTGATTAAGTTCATTTCTTTGACGTGACCCTGTAGATATGTGTAGTGTTGTAATTGTCATGATTAGAATTTAAAAAAAAAATCAGTGGCAATACCATATAAAGCAAGTATTAAGCCCATTTCCCTCGCACGTTTGCCTTTAATGGTTCCTAAATTTTATGCCCTAATTGAAAGTGGTGGAAGTACTTCTTTCATCGTGAATTTGCCTTTAAGCTCCCGTATACTTGTATGTGCGTTTTAAAGGAGGCCAGCGAGTTCTATATTCGTCGTAAGGCCTAATGTGTATGGGCATTAATACTCTTTCTTTGATGCAATTACGATACAGTGAACAACCACTAGATTCAATTAATGTATAAATAAGGATGTGAATGAATGATTTTAGTGGATGCGACGACTTTGGGTGCTCTATGGGTGTAACATTTCATGGTTTAAAGAAATAGGTAATATGAGCAATACAGTTGATAGACATTACTTAAGTTAGACGCTAGTAAATAAATGTAATTCATTCTGCTTCACCATGTACTGTAGAAATTGATGGTGTAACCTATACTGCTAAAACGAATAAGTGTTTTGACGTTTATTTTAACAACCCGTAAAAGAATGCTGATAAACGTGCATAGGAAGTGAAGTGGTAGTCTCATGTTTCGTATTTTAGGAAAATTCCTCATTTTATGAGTAGGCACATAATTATGCAGAAATGTGTTTATAGTCCTGGGCTTCAAAAAATATGCAGAATGAACTTGTCAGGTGTACTGCGTGGTACACAGATTCTACTGTTTATCCACTGGTAATGGTTTCATGTACACGTACACGTATGTGGTGTGGGTTCGGTAAATCGTCAATCAATTAAGCAACATTTGATTAACGTTCAGGACCAGTGTCGGATTCAAGAGGCCCCGCCAATGCCGTAGCCAGCTAGTGGGACAGTTCCACACCATGTTTTTTTAAATGGGTCCATAAAGAATGGGTTCACATTTTTTAAAATGGGTTCAAATGATGTAATTCTATGCATAACGTTTGTCTACTTTTTGAAAAATAGGTCCATATTTCTCATATTTTGCTTGAAATGGATAAAAAATTTTAAAAATGGGACCAGATTTTTCATATTTTTGCGTAAAGTGGGTCCACACGTAAAATGGGTCCACCCTGATACTGTTCCGCACTGTTCGAAAATCCTGGCTACAGCATTGGGCCCAGCTGGGCCGGACCTCCCTATATTTTTCAAAATGAAATGAAAATTTAGCAAAAAAAGGTAATTAGGCCTATACCAATTTTTTTAGTCTAAGCGTGCCATAATCATACATTTTCTTGCCTCAGCAAGGTGGGGCTGAGCTGGTATACACCCTCCGTCTGTGAAATACCTCTCTGGGCCCCTCTATTTAAAATTTCTGAATCTGCAACTGAGGACGTTTCTTCTGCCAGCCAAATTTCGTTAGCTATTGATATCTACAACTATTCAGAAGAAACGTCATAAAAATTGTTTATTAAAAAAAAAAGTGTCTATGTCTTGGTAAAAAGTTAGTAATTGAATGATTGGGTATTTTATATCAAAAGGACGTAAATGTAAAGTGGTCGTAATGTATCTTAAGGGGTGGACACAGTTTTGGTACTGAAACAACAATAACAACCTTTCATTGTGAAAAAGAATTTGACCCTGCGAAGTGTAAAATGACGGATTGGCTACAGTTAAACGCACACTCTTTAGGTAGGCCTACTAGCAGGGGTATACCGTCAGGCCCCGGGTATTCTGGCTACTTAAGATCGTCAACCTTCTGTATATACTTCATAGCTCAAACGTCGGAAATGGAACAGGCTATATGCAAAAAGAAGAGTCGAGGGATCCTTGAAGAAAATATCTGGCTGTTGAAATACTTCTAGCCAGGAGCTTGTTTGATGGATTTGCAATAGGGTTACAGTCTCATCTGTTTTGATGACAAGGACGACAATCGTTGAAACCCGGCAGTTTCATATTTAGAAATCTGCGTAATTCACCGTGTCACAAATGGTGAGTAAGTTGGTTCTCATTACTGTATTTTACGTCTGACACAGTTTTTCTTTCAGTATTAGGCCCTAAGTGTATTTTTCGTAGCTTTGTCTCTTTATATAGTTATTTAAAGTTGGGTGCACCTTGAGGTTTTAAGGCATACCATCTAGTATGAATTTTCAGCCTTAATCTGTATGGCCTACATACCTGTAGTCTCTGTTTTGAGGTGTATGCTGGGTTTCTCTTTCCCAGACATGGGTCTCTATTTTCGTGCATGACATACGAAATTATCAAGTAGGAAAAAGGATTATTTTGATACCTTCATGCATGGGAAAATAGAGACTAAAATTGTGGGGGTTCCAGATTGACAAAAATGGGCGCTCGCATCCACCCCCCCCCCCCCCCCCCCCCCCCCCCCCCCCCCCACCGACATCAACCTAAAATATCAAGAAAGCTGAAACCCATGCATGCGAAAACAGAGACCCAAGTATACGAAAACAGTGACAAGGCATAGGAAAACAGAGAACGAGATACAAAAATAAAGACCTACACACTGTGAAAACAGATTACGCATACAAAAACAGTGACCAAAGTATACGAAAACAGAGACCGGACGTACGAAAACAAGTCAGGCCAAGGTCTGTTTTGATTTTTAGAGCTGGTCTCGGTTCTCTGATCTCTCTGTTCCCCCTCAAAAACATCCTGGGGCTTAGCTAATGTAGACCCCTCCAACCCCCGGTCTGAGTAAGATTTCCTTCTTATTCCAAATTCCTAGTCTCTGATCTAATTTCATAACCACAAAGTTACCGAATAAATTTCATTTAAACTTTTCCTCCATAGCGTGCGAAAGATTAGTTTACTCGTTTTCTCCAATCACAGAACTGTTTGAAAATCGCAATGCATGCATATTATCTGTCTCGCTGGGGATTTCTAAACATCATTACAATTTTTCTTACTTTAACCATTTTGGTACAGTTTATAAGAGAAATACCATCCATTTAGATTTCGGACCCTTATTTACGATTATAATCTAGGCATTGGTTATTTTATTGTATTTATTGTATTTATTTATTTATTTATATGGGGCAAAGTTTTCTGAAAATGGGGGATCCTGAACCTCGGAACTGCCAGCTTTGGTAGCCTCTATTCATAGAACCGCCTGAACCGGCGGTATGTACACTATTGATTATTGGTTTTGTATATCTGGGATTTTTTGTTTGTAAATCTAGATGAAATAATTTTAATAAAGGGTGAAATTATGAGTTATATAAAAAGTTTGTTTTGCTTCGAACTCTGGATACTTACTCGGTTTTAGATTGATCTAAACTCGATATATCAAGCATATCTCCTCAACGAAATGTTCAGTTGTATGAAAATGTGTCTCTCTGTCTATATGTCTCTGCCTCTGTTTCTCTCTTTCTCACTCAATCTCCCGTTACCATATGGGTCCCAGTCCCTAAATGTTGTCTTAATCAGTGACTATTAAATATCGATTTTGGTACTGCCTTTCCATACGCCTTCACATAGTGGGCTAGTAAGCCCGACAGATCTCCAGCTGGTTGAAGAAGAGAGTTAGGCCTGTAGTAAATAAACATTAGATCAAATTTGTGGCGTGCCTTTGTAGCATATGGACAGTAAATAAGAGAATTAATCATTCATTCATTCATTCTTTTTATTATTATCAAAACTCATAGCAGTAAAAAATAACTGATTTACTAGTAGATTTACAAAATTCACAGGAATACAAAACTATTAAAAGTTAAAAAATATTATTAAAATGCAAACAGAAACAGTGCTCAAATAATATAAGAACAACCGAAGTTAAAATTGTGTAAATTATTAGCTCTTCAACGAAAAAGCTCCTTATTTGTATGAAAAAGTATGTCCGATGTATGTAAAGAGGATACAGTATATGTATGTTCATACATATCTATTATAGACATAATAAAATAATAACATCGCTTGAATATGAACTTAATGCTTCTACAATCTTCAACCAAGCTCTTTGTAATGAGTGCCCCTGGAGGAATTTCAGCATGCAACCTCTCGCAATGAAGGCGAGTGTTGCATATAATTTATATATTGGCTGCAAAGAATGTGGGTCGTGATACAAAATCGGTTAAATTTTTTTGTGGGTTCTTAATGTTTATGGACAAAAATAAAAAATAAATACCCACACCAAAAGGGTACGGTAAATGAAATACGATATGAAATGATCAAGCGATAATACCAGAAGAGTCGTTCGTCCTACCCCATGGTGTTCGAATCTAGATCAACATTCAGAAACGCCTTAGGTATATAACTCAGTTGTCAGGAATTGTCAAGAAAATTAGAGCATTTTTTTTTTCAATTAAATTTATTTTTATATCAGACATTGTGTTCATTGCTATCATTAAAACTGGAGTTAACAATTGTAAACTATGGTGGAAACTGAACTAATTTTATTTTTATTTTCAAACTGTTTTAAGATTCTATAGGGAGCTTTTCACCTCACCGCTTCCCAACCCCCATCCCCCATCATTGAGCATAAGCGCATAAAATAGTCAGTTAGCTAACGTATAGATTCAAAGCAATTGTTAAGGGGTTTTTGGGGGTATTTGGGTTTACCTACAGAGCAACCATGACATCCCCTTTTACAGACATGATATGTTGCCCTTTACGACTATTTCTCACCAATAAAAAAATGTACCGGTACCTTTTAAAATATAGGCCTACCGGTATTTTTTAATTAACTTACACAGAACGTAAAAAACGCATATTTTCAGGAACTTTGGCCTTTGGAGTTCGACCGATGATCCCTGCCAATTACAATTTGCATATTTGTTGGATGAAAATCTATTATAATGAGTATGATATTTTAATTCTTTTCGAAATAAAAAGCCAATGTTAGAGGGAGAGTATTTTAAGGTCATCGATATATAAATATATAATTGCGCTTTGTTAAAGTCATAAATATTTAAAACATTAAATTCAGTGTCTCGACGTTGAGTTGCTTCAATCGTCATCAGAGTATATTATTCCCCTAAAGACCAACTCAATTGAAACGTCGAGACATTTTCAACATAATCAATGTTCTTTTCAGGACTATATACGCGGTGTACCGCAAGCAATAACACATTGTTACTTCGCCATGTAAACCTTCAAAACAATATTTTTAAAACATTCAATTTCTTGTTGGAATTAAATTGTACCCTGGATAAATTCTTTGAAAATTATTTCGTTCGTCATGGCACAGGCCAGTGCGTCATTTAAACAATGATTGTGTCGCCTGAAGATTGCACTGGAATTAATTAAACTGAAACGCTCACATAGTGGAGCTCTGGGTGAGCTATAAAAACCTATAGATCGCAGTTGGGAAATCATACTAAATAATATTAAAATAAGTGTAATAAGTGTGTAGCACCGTAAACACAATATCAAAAATAGATTAATAGTAACAGTGCTCGAATAGGAACATATTGTAATAATTGTATCAATCATAGGTAATCCAAGAAAAGTGTCTTTATTTCAGTTGCATGAAAAGTGTCTGGCGGGATTCGAACCTGCAACATCTCGCATGAGACAGCCAGTTGTATAGAGATAGTGGGGGTCGTTGGGGTGGTGGGAACAGATCGTCGCCGATATCTTATGGTCTCTTTGGTCTAATGGATATGCTACTCGCCTTGATAGCGAGAGAATGCAGTTTCTAATCCCGATTATTACAACATGTTGCGATTTGAGCAGTTATTATATTAAGCAAATACTTTGGTACTTAAAAGCTAACCATTGCTCCACGTTTCAGTCAGTTCTATGACGAAAAATGCCCTGGGGTGAGATCTGGTCGTAAATCCTTAAGGTCTCCATGGTCTAATGGGTTTGCTACTCGCCTTGATAGTGAGAGGTCGCATGTTCGAATCCCGACTGGATGGCGTTTAATGTCATACCAGGGAAGGGTGCAGATCTGTTTTGAGAGGTGGGGGTGGGGAGACACTTCGTATTTCAGGAAATAGTACCTATAAGGGCCAGAAATGACACCTGTAGTAAAATTCATCAACATCACATCACTATTTTTAGTCAAAATAAAGCGCCAACAAATTCCTCATGATCTTTTATCAGGGATTTTTTTTATAGTAAAATTATATAGTCAAAATGAAGCGCCAACAAATTTCTCATGATCATCGTTTATCAGGGATTTTCGGCAACCATGTCTAATTAATATCCAGGACAACTTAAGCCAAACTATACTAAGCTTAACTCCTATAATAATTCTGATCAACAAATCACAAGTTTTTTTATCGCGTTTAGCACAGTTTTTAATATTATTAACATTATTATCTATTGTCATAATCACAATCGTCATCATTATTTATCATTACTACTAGTAGTACTGTAGTATTATTAAGCAAAACTTATAAACGCTTGTAAAAGGATAAAAACCAAACGGAAATATACAATATCACATTTCTGTATCTTAAAATACATGGCATGGAATTTATGGATTTAAGACGAATGTAAGTTGATTTTTTGTTTGTTAAGTTTGATAAATCTACCCTTGAGCCGTAGCTGTTATGAACCCGAAAAGTTTTATTTTTGCATTATTGTGTATAGTGAAAAAGTAATTAATCTGATTAATCTAACGAATATTCCAGTGGGTTACTATCAGGTAGCTGGTGACTTTTATTGATAGAAGTTTATGGTGGGTTTCTATCAGAGCACGGGTCACAAACTAATGCATATTTACATATTTTCGAGAAGTATTCATTTTGAGTGATCCCAGTAAAGAGTTTGTAGGCATATTGGCTAGCAAGAACAAGCTATCAAACACTGTTTAAAAAGGTAGGGGATGAGCTGCGGCTCCTACCGTCCTCCCACCCCCAGATACGTCCCTGATCCCGCCATCTCCCATCAAGTATAAACTTACCAATTGGCCGTCATTTTAATCATGCTAATCATTCAATAGAAGATATATCAATTATAGGTATTGAGCATATCGTTAATAAAAAAGAATCAATTATCAAGACAAGAGAATCATTACCCGAGAG